CCTGGCTCAATGTGCCCCTTTTTAGCTTTAAGCACCCGCCCCTTTAAACCTCTCTGCACGGCCCTGTCCACCACTGTATCAAACTTTCTGTCTGCAAAATTAAATTCACTCAAATTTCAGCATGTGGTGTTTTTTTTTTCACCTTTCCTTAATCTGAACACATCGGTGCTACAGTTTTTGTTGGGTTTCTTTATTTTGGTTTTTGAGTTTGTGAGCTGTGAATCTCTGCAGTCATACTCGACTCTACGTGGACGACTTCCGCGATCGGTCAAAGAAAACACCTGCACACCTGTTAAGGATCTAGATGCACCTGAAGGATGAATATGAAGCTTTTCACACAATAATGCGAGTGACGCGAACCATGGGGCTCTTATTACTGTAGCAAAATCTTGCGCGTTTGTAGTAATGTTTATAAATGTGTAGAGAAACACAAGTCGAGGCACTAACTGATTCTCCTTTGACTGACTCTGCACACATAGGATTTCCAACTGTTAAATTATTAAATAAGGGACACACTGGCATACCAGAAGCACAATGCACAACCAGCTGAGCATACGTCATTAAATAGTTAAATGTGTCAATAATTAATCATTATAAAATTAAATGTATATAATTAAATTCATTAAATAACATTGGAAATAAATAATTTAAATGTTTTAAATGAAATGAATGAGCATTTAATTCATTAAATAAATTTAAATAATGAATTAATTCCAATTTTAATATGTTAATGAAACATAAAGGCGTATTTAATTTTGTAAAGTCTGAGTTAGGACTGAGTTTCTGCTCCACTGATCAGTTTCTGGAAGAAATCAAAGATCAGCTGTTTAAATTCAGAGTGTCATGTTTGATTTGTTTGATACTTTCTTTGCCTGTGAGTCTGAAAATGTGACAGAGCAGCTGGAAACAAAGACGAAGAAACTTTCAAGATTATATGGTGATGAAGGATTTATGATATCATCTGTATTCAGAGATGAGAGTGCAGTGATTCTAACTGCTTTTTCTTTTATTTAAGGGTCCACATGGAGGCTGTACTTGCTTCAGTTAAAAATGATCTGATGAACAATGACACTGCTGCAGCAGTAGAAAAGATTCAAAGATATTTAAAAGAACCAGATAATATTCCACTAAAAATCGCCATCACAGGAGAATCTAAATCTGGTAAATCCACCTTTGTTAGTGCCTTAAGAGGCATAAAGAGCATTGGTGATGAAGATGAAGGCGCTGCACCCACTGGTGTTACAGAAACCACCTCAGAGGTCACAGAGTACCTCCATCCAAACTATCCCAATGTTACTTTATGGGATCTTCCTGGAATCGGCACCACCAAGTTTCCAGCTAAGAAGTACCTGGAGCTTGTTGGATTTGAGAACTTTGACGTCTTCATCATCGTCTCAGCTGATCGCTTCAGAGAAAATGACGTGAAACTTGCAAAGGAGATTCAGAAGATGAAGAAAAAGTTATACTTTGTTCGCTCAAAGATTGACAACAACATACGTGATGAGGAAAGAAAGAAAGACTTCAGTAAAGAGGAGACTCTTAGAAAAATCAGAGACGACTCTGTTCAAGGTGAGTTTCTTATCTAATCATTTTTACCAAAGTAACATCACTTTGTGAATTTACTATTTAAAAATATTCAGAACTTAGTTTCATTTTTTTCCCCCTCATGTTAACATGTATTTTCTGTAAAACAGGACTCAGATGTAGACACCAAGTCTTCACATGTTGTCCTGGTGTGCAGCTTAGAGCCTCACTATTATGAATTCTCTAAATTAGTGGGTCAGCGACCCTCTTAGGGACATTTCCAATAAGGCATAACAATCTGGGACTCTCCATCAATTTGCCCTGAAAAAGCTTCTCAGATGAAACATCTTCAAGAAACCTAAAGAAGTCCATACCCTTTTCTTACCAAGCTCCTAAGAGTACCATGACCTGGATGACTGAGAACCTTCACAGAACTCTGTCTTACCTTGTATTTGTTTAAATAAATTTTTATTTTCATTCTCTCTTCTTTATACCTCAGTGCAAACAAGTGTGAACATCATTCTTTGTTTATTAAGTTAGTAAAGTTAAACTCTGAGCCTTTTTTGTTTTTTATCTTTTATAACACAGGTCTTCAGAAAGAAGGTTTTGAGTCTCCACAGGTCTTCCTGGTGTCCAGCTTTGAGCCTCACATTTATGAATTCTCTAAATTACAACAGACTTTAGAGAGAGAACTTCCTGCACACAAGAGTCTGCTGCGTGCCATGTCCAACATCAACCAGGAGATCATCAACAAGAAGAAAGAAGCTTTTCAGTCCAGAATAAAATACTACTCTCTGTCTGCAGCTGTAGCAGCTGTAGCAGCTGTTCCAGTTCCTGAGCTGTCTGTTAATGTTGATGACAGCATGATGCTTTCAGTTGTCACAGATTATGTAACTGGGTTTGGTCTTGATAAGCAGTCTCTGGAGAAACGTGCTGCCAGCTCAGGTGTGTCATATGATGATTTGTGTGCTGTCATCAAGTCAGAACTGGCTAAAATACCTGCAGAGTTCTTCAAGAAAACGTTTATCTCAGTTCAAGGTAAAGCTGCATTAATGGAAGCAGGGAAAGTATCCAGAAATTCTTTCCTATTTGTAACTGCAGCATCAATGGGTATCTCTTTTACAACAACCTACTTCACTCTGAGTTATTTCCTCATCTAGCTTTCTGATGATGCTCAGAGGGTGTTTAACAGAGCTCTGGGTGTGAACATATCAGTGTGATTACTATAAAGTAAAGTAGCTACTAGTTACATTTTAAGCTGCAGTGTGCAAACAAGCTTTGATTTTTTTTTAAACAATTACAGAATCATTCACTGATTTCAATTTGACTCATTTCAGTGAACAGTAAGCATCCTGGTACAGCTGATCTGTGTATCAGATGCCTCAGCAAGACTCATTTCCTCTCATCAGAGCAGAAACAACATAGTAACTGTTTTCCCCTCATCACATTAATACAGAAACAAGTGTGATCTTATTTTTCATAAACTGTGTACTGTGGAGAAGAGCTACTGGATTGATGCTGTGATGCTTTTTAATTATTTGGTTAATTTTTAATGTCAACATTTTGTGCAAATCAGATCAAATAATGAAATTGGTTTTGCTATATTATATCACCATGCCGTATCTTCCACCATAATAAATACTGAGTTATGCAGAATGTATGATGTCATGTGATAAGCAGAGGTGTGTGGAACAGAAACTGCTCTGTGGTGTTTGTGTTGACTGTATATTGTGTTCACTGCCCTCCAGTGGTCGCAGTGAGGAGCTACAACAATAATAATACAGTTATGAACTCTGTTTATCACCATCATTCTCTTATTATTAATAAAGTGCAGCATTAGCATTATTTATGACCCTTAAAAAACAGATTCCAAACAACACATTATAACACCGGGTGAGTTATTCTAGTCTGTGTATATGTGTAGTAGACAAAATATTAGAAACACTGGTGAGCACCTAAACACTGAGCTTCATCATGATTGGGTTAAAAGTAAAACACAAAAGTCCCCACACCAATTTCTCAATTTGTCAGAATGCATGTGGATAATACAAATCTATAACAACTGAAAACTAAACTGAATGACTTTAAGAGCTTGTTCAGAAAATGATTTAAGTCATTTTTCACTGTTAGAAATTTGTCACCCTGCAGAGCCAGCACCCCTATACAGGAACCAATGTGGGCCCAGCTCAAACTGCTGCAAGGCAAGCCAGGTGTCTTTCCTGCCTCTGATATGGAAATGGTGGTCCTGAGAGCAGGTGCAGTTTATGTAAATGGTAAATGGACTAGTTCTTATATAGCGCTTTTCCACTCTTCTGAGCACTCAAAGCGCTTTACACAACTTGTGCATTCACCCATTCACACCCATTCGCACAAGCACAACTGACATTCACACACATACATACTCCGATGAATGCATCGGAGAGCAATTTCGGGTTAGTATCTTGCCCAAGGATATTTGGCATGCAGACTAGGGGAAGCCGGGAATCGAACCACCAACCTTCCGATCAGTAGATGACCTGCTCTACCACCTGAGCTACAGCCACACCTGTTCCCTTCTAGATCATTTACCAGTTTAGCTGTTAATTACAGGGTTCATTTTAGTGGCCTGGACAGTCAGCCCCAAGAGACTTGCTGGAGTAAAATGCTGGAGTAACATCTAAGAGCTATTTACACTACAACTAATACTATTAAGTTAAAGACTGAATGTTCACAATTTAGACCTTAATAGCAGGATATTTTATTAAAGCAGTTTAGCAAACCAGAATAAAAAATAATAATAAAGCAAAATGATTATAATAACTTGAATTATACTTAACTAACCTACTCTGAGCTAATGCTGATTTTATTCACATCGTTGGAGAGAAAAGGCACACCATAGATCTGAAACTGTCAACAGTGAAACTCTTAGAGCCATTCTTCAGTGTTTTTTTATTCAACCAGGAAGATCCCATTGAGATTGGAAACCTCTTTTTCAAAGGATATCTGGTCAAGATAGGCAGCAGCACGGTTACAAAAATTATACAATTAAACACAGGCAGCAACAGAACACATGCAAAATAAAAAAAAAATAAAAAATTCAATTAAAATGACAAACAATCTATTTGAAACTGTCACGGTTTGCGATGCAAGCCGTGTGGGAATTATTGAAGGACCCAAGATGCAGACACTGCTGATGTGAGTGAGCTTTATTGAGGAGGATGACATACAACAGAAGGCGAGGGTGGCGAGAACAGAACTGACAAAACCTAAACAGGGAAATCTAAGCATAAAATATATCTGAAACCTTAAGATACGAACGGAGATGCACGGGAACCACACAGACGAACCAACAACGAACAGTAGAAAATACAGGGCTTAAATACACACAGGGCAATCAGGGACTGGGAGACAGGAGGGAGACACAGCTGGGGGAAATCAGAGCTGACGAGACTGAGGGAAGTAAAACAGAATACAATAACCTGAGACACTGACCTTCAAAATAAAACAGGGACTGACACATGCAAAGACACAGACTGAGAAACCCAGACTTTACACAGAGGAACACATGTGTAATGACAGAGGAACACATGATGTGTAATACCATCCACATGTGGATGGTATTACAGGAAGCAACGGCTGTTCTTCGCTGGATTGTTGTGAGAATCGCGTCAGTGAAAGTCGAGCGTCCCAGCAAGTATTTTCCCGTGCAGTGTGTGTTTAGAATCTAACAAGCGTTTCTTTGTGTACAGATTCCCTGGACTGTTTCCCTGGTGTGCGAGTGGATTCGTGTTTGGATTGTGTGGAGAGAGACGAGCGTGTTCCCCTGGATTTTCCCCGGAGCCCTGCCCCCCTCACCTTTTGTACATAGCACTGCCCCGCATCTGTGTATATACACTCGTTGGACATTGTTCTTTAATAAATTCTCTTGTGTGCATCATCCCCAGAGTCCAGCGCGTGAGTCCACCTTGTACTTCGTGACATCTACTTCCTCTATTTCATTAGTTATATTTACCCCAGGTGTATATCCTCATTAGCCTGTCTATTTAAGCCCTCAGTTTCTCCCAGTTCCTTGTTTCATTGTCGTCAACTCCTCATGTGTGTTTCCTGTTCATTCAGTCAAGTGCAGTCCTCTTAGTTCAGTCATTAAACACTGTGCATATTCTAAAGCAGCTGGCGAGTCCTGCGTTTGGGTCCTTTCTCTCCTTATTCCACACACTGAACGTGACACAAATTTAACACTGTGGAGACAAGCATCAATATTCTGGTTAGATAAGAGAAGCTTGGAAAGAAAACAACTGGACTTCTTTAAGATGCTTGAAGACATTTCACTTCTCAGCTGAGAAGCTTCTTCAGTTCGAAAACCAAACGGTGGAGAGTCCCGGGGATTGAAATCCTAGCGGGGGTTGTCCCTTACGCTCTGAACGACCATCCTCAAACAGAGGCTTTGACAACAGCTTTCTGCCACCTTCAATGCAGTTTTGAGATCCTTCCCAGGTCCCAAAACCCCCACTCACATTTTGTGTCAAATGATCTCAATGGATCATATGATAGGGTGAGGCAAGGTTTCGCAATGGTTTAACCCCAAACTTCTATCGAAAATGAACTACTCCTTTTTTCACACCTTGTGATAAGACACATAATCAACAGTGGGTCAGCAACCCTCTTAAGGGACAACTCCCACTAGGGCTTAAATACCTGGGACATTACCTGCCAGGTATTACATACCTAGGACCGCTCGCCCCTGCGGGCGGTCAGTCCTCCAAGCTCGGGTCCTCTACGAGAGTCCCAAGACTGCGCTCTTCTGTACAGAGATCTAAATAATAATAATAATGGATTGCATTTATATAGCGCTTTTCGGGACCCCTCAAGCGAGGGAAGTAAAATCTGATCCGTGGCAAAGTAAATCTTAAAAAAAATAATGATATCCCTAAAGATTAACTATGTATCCATTACACAGCATACCTGATTGTATACTAAAACAATACCACAATCTCATTAAAGAATTTCTCTGGGCAGGGAGGAAGCCTAAAGTGGGCCACCATAGAAAAGATTCTTGTCACACCCTTTCACCCTATACAGATGTCATCACAACAATCCAGTGGTAAAGAGACACAATTACTGAACACTCTCAGGAGGTTTGGGCAAAAGCTACAAAATGTACAAACTCTCCGATTACAAACAGCAATATGCGTCACTTTGGTATAGCCCAGAATTAAAAATAGAGAAACAAATATTATTTTGAAAAAGAACTCTTGGTAATGGAATTCATACAATTAGTGACTTCTGTAAAGATGGTATTCTTAAATCTTTTGTTGAGTTAGTTCAAGAGTACAACCTATGAGATAGGGGTGACTTCTGGAACTATTTGCAGATTAGACATTGCATAGAAAAATTTCAGCCAAACAAAGCAGATAATTCAGTAGTTAACCCGACCCCATCTAATCACAAGGTAACTCAATTCACATGACCACCAGCACATGTGACAATCTAAGAATTATCTAGTAGAGAGAAATAGAATTGTGAAATAGATACCTGGGAATATATCTTGGCTGATAATGGTAAAAGTAACAGACATATTAGACATAACATCATGGACATCATGCAGGCTTTTTAGAACAGGATTTATAAATAAAAATGTCTGTTGTAAATGTGAAAAGGAAACTGCCACCTTTCTGTATTTGTGACAGGTTGAAGGACTACTGCATATAAAACTGTTCAGTTAATACTAATTCATATCTGTTGATATAAGGACGAAAATAATGTAAATGTGGTAAGAAAATGGTTAAGAGTTTATTATTTTTCATGTTATATTAATGGCTTTCATGTTACTTAAGAGAACTACAATCTATACATCTCTGATCGGCTAGTAAGCCTTTTCTGGGATCGATTAGTAGTGTCTCTATTCTCCACTAGGGGGCTTTCGCGCGTTCTCCTCACTGCAATAAACGACTGCATGAGAGACGCAAGTCATAATCACTCTTGTGAGTCTTTTCCCCCTGTTTTCAGGGGTGTAACACATTTCATATTGGAATGTGCCAATGTTAAGCCATTTTGGCATAGAATATAAAGCTCCAAGAGAAATGAGTAAGACTAAGCCACTGTCCCTATGTTTAGGTCTTCTACGAGATAAAACAGTAATTCCACCACTGCAAAAATGGTGCACAGTCAGGTTTCTCTCTGCAGCCAGAATTATACTGAGACATTGCCCACAAACCCAACATTCCAAGAGTGGAAAGTTCTAATATGTGAGACTGTCATATCAGGCTATTCTGACTGGATTGAGGGGCAAAGGGCCTGTGGTACTAGAGAGTTGGGATTGCTTTGCATGGTACCTCACCCCTACTAGTGTCTGACTGTGATCTCTACTAGAAAAACTTTAAGGAACACATTAAGGAACACAGGGGAGATAAAATAAACAGAAAATTCAAGGACCTAAATATAGCCTATGATGAAAACTCAAAAGTTCATGGAAAATACAATACTCAAACAACCATAAATTTTACAGAACTCAAAAAAACTGGGTCAGAGACCCAGGATTATGACATTTACTCAGGCGCCACTGGGTCAGAGGGCCCGGTGGCGCCAGTGTCCGGCAGCCTCGCCTCTGTCAGTGCGCCCCAGGGCAGCTGTGGCTACAATGTAGCTTGCTATCGCCAGTGTGTGAATGTGTGTGTGAATGGGTGGATGACTGAATGTAGTGTAAAGCGCTTTGGGGTCCTTAAGGACTAGAAAAGCGCTATACAAATGCAGGCCATTTACCATTTTACCATAAACAATTCTTGACCTAGTAGGGGTGCTAAAAGATGTTCTTAGAGTGACTGCACATTTCTGTTTTTTGGGGGGGTTTGTTTTCTTTTTTGTTGTTGTTATTTGTTTTGTTTTTTTAACAATTATTTTATTGCGCAATGATTCAATTTTCACAGGCCAAAAAATGTGCTGTAATCAAAATGCTGATAGGACAGATATCACATTGGAAAAACATTTGGAGTAATTTTGGCCCACGTGTCTTTGGGGGGTTTTTGAGCATGAATCGCTTTCATAAGTTCATGCCACAGCATCTTAAACGAATTCAGGTCAGGACTTTGACTAGACCACTCCAAAGGTTTCATTTTGTTTTTGTTAATGTGATTTTGCACAAAGTAGATAAACTTGAAAACTGAAATGAATTACCATCTTATAATCTGATTGTCTTTTATGCACACCAATGTCATGCTGCCTAGCTGTTGTTCTGGATTTCTGCTCTGGTTCATGGTCATTTGTGTTTCCTCTGTATTTTAGACTTTAAATAAACCTCCTAAACAGTTCCTGCCTGCCTGGGTATTTCAACCCAGATCCTCTTTCCTGTTATCAGTGAACATCCCTGATGGTGTTTCTGCACTTGCATGCATGTGTTCATCTATTAATTTAACCAAATCTCTCACACAAAACAACCTAGATTCATAAGGAGCATTACAGACCAGAAGCAAATCACATAAATCTAATTTTGGGATGTATGGCTTTACTGCCCCTTTAATTTCTGGTATTGGTATTGTTTATTGTTATTTGGGTGTGAAAGAATTTTAAGGAGACTTACAAGAGGTACAAGAAAGGAAATTACACATTGTCTTTATAATAAAAAAGAAACTGTTACACTGACCAACAAAGTTTAACATTTACTAGCACTTCATTATTTAAGTCTTTGAAGAATACATTTTTAGAAATTAAAAAAAATCTCCCATTCATTAACACATACAACAGAGTTTATGCTTTTAAACAGAAAAAAAAATACAATGTGGTCCACCCACAGGCCTCAGATGTTTAGCATAAATGTTAACAACCAAATGAATTCTTAGAGCAGATGAAAGAATAACTGGAAGTACACAGAGTGTTACCCCAACCATCTGGAATAAGAAAGAAACAAATCAAAATTAACACTAAATTAATCAAGGCAGTGGTTTTTATCAGCAATTAACAGCATTTAAATAGAGGTCAGCACCTATTGATTCTTATTTAAAAATATATTCATTTCATCCAAGTTGAAATATTTCACCTAGATTAACACCCCACCTGCAGTTACCCTGTGCCCCAGCAGTTTGGCATTCTCTGCAGCAGACTGACAAATTCTGCACCGTTATTCCCAGTAAACAAACCCTTATGTGTTTGGGCACAATAATACACTTTACTGACCCACTGTATATCAGATTTAACAAAATGGCATACATTTAAACACAGGGTATGTCAGTCTCATAGCTTGAAAGAAGCCATGTATCAAATTTGATCTGAACTGACATATCAAGGTTAACTCTACAGGCAATGCTCTATGTAAGAAAAGAAAAGAATATAACATTTTCAGATGCTGATATTACTCACAGGTGGATCGTAGGAAGAGGCAAGGGTAGCTGCTGGAAGAGGACTGGCTGTACCAGTTGGTGTAATAGAAACCCTCACGGTCAATCCAAAGCCACTGGTTCTGAGATGCAAAGAACATATGTGTGAGGGAGTGTTGACTTAGTCTCTTCATTTATTCTCATATCCATTCTGTGTAAGTCTAGACCCACTTCCGACCAGGTCCAAAGTTTGATCTGGACTGACTGAGGTGGTGTTTCTTTTTTTCTAAAACTCTACCTGCAGTCTGAAACCTCCCAGCCAAGCAGTAGTCTGACCCGCTGTCTGTGTCATCTGTTGGAGGAAGCTGTACTCTCTGAGGTTGGTAACTGAGGCCAGATTGCCACCCAGACTATTGCAGTACTCCTATTGGATAGATGAACATAAAGAGATGTATCATTAAGCTGCAGTGTGAACTTAAAGCTCTGTGAGTCATGTGGGAGACTGACTGTCCTACAAATATATACAATCACCAAAGCTTTAGTTCAGGTGAAGCAGAGACCGCCATTTCTATGATTTCCATGAAAGGGTGTTTCTAAAAATTTGCTCAGCTAATTCAAAAACCATGGAACATCTCATTGTTCAGGTGTAAATGTATAGTTGAGCTCAATGACAGTACCTCAGCAGAGAACCAGGACCTGGGACTATTGATGAACTTGAAGCAGCGAGGACCATAGCTGAACCAGCCATCTGGACAGAAGCTAAAACGAGCTGCAGGCAGACAGTGATGAATACTTCATTATTGTGTCTACTTTTGTTTCTTTACTTTTGATCATGCTTTTATAGCATGTTTAACAGCCTCAAAAACCATATTAAAATGACATTTTAATGGGAGAGAAAATAAATGTATTTAAAGTAAAGTAAGTAAGTAAAGACATTTGACAAAAGGTAAAATTCCTATTGCTCATCAGTTTCACCACAGCATTCTTTCCAATCAATCCTTAGTTGGGGTGCCAAAAATATGGGCACTATATTTAATAAGCTTACACATTCATACATATCCAAACTTCTCTACTGTGGCCTGCAGAGAGAGGTGTTTGAATTTGATTTGACTATTTGTTGCTGTTAATTAAAAGCTTATTTACCAGTGAACTAAACAAGGTCAAAAAGGGAAGTGAAAGAGTCTTACCTTGAGGTTTGGCTGCTCCTTCAAACTCCTGGGCTGCACAAAAACAAATTAACACAATCAGTGATAAAAAGGAAGATATATATCATTTTAAGAATATTCTCATTGGTTCCTACACACAACATGTGAAGCACTTTACAATGTGACTGACTCTAAACTAGATATGTTAGCTGACTATGAGCACGTGTGACTTCAAAGACTACGTCAGGCACCATCACCTTATTTATTGTGAATGTTTTCAGCTGCCTTCATGAGAAACTGAAATTGCATACAGGTCATTTATGTGCCTTGTAATGAGGCCAAGTTAAATATGTGTGAGTTGGTTAAGGATGCACATTGCTAACCTTCAAACTGTGTAACAGTGAAATTCAAAGCAACATTCAAGTTGTAACTGTACTGAAGATACTACACTTGAAATTTGAGATCATATTGAAGTCTAAGGTTGTGGTGCTGAAACGCTGGTTGAACTGTAGTCAGACTGTTTTGATTATTTATTGTGTGTTCTCTTGTCTGTCACAGTGCAGGCTAAGTATGACACAAAAGCCAACAGCGAAGGGGACACTGACCACACGTGTGTTGGTGTTAGATTCTGTTCTCACTGTCTTTGTACGTCTTAAAAGAAACACTTTCAACACTCACCTGAAGTCTGCTGATTGTCTTCAGCTGGAACTGCAGAGAAAAATGACACAGTCAGTAAAAATGGTGCATTAGTGAGTCTCCCATCACTTCTTCAGGGTTGGCTGATTGACTGATGAGCAGGTTTGTTTGAGTCTGTGTGTGCTGAATATTACCTGCCAGTGCAGCATAGAGGAGAGCGGAGAGGAGCAGGACAGTCTTCATGTTGATCCTCTGTTATGAAATAAACAAAAACAGCCAATGAATATCCAGAAAGAGCACAGGCATGAAGTCAGTGAATGAAAAGCTCTGCTGTAGGATTCTTACCTGTCAGGTAAAGATGTTGTTCAAGTATCAGCTGAGTGATGCAGTAATGACGGGGAACTTCTCTGGTCTTTATATACGTAAACTGAGTCACATCAGGTCACGTTCCTGTGGGCGTATGCAGGCCAGGAAGATATTTGCAGAGTGCACATAAAGGTATGTACTTGAACTCTGATCTGTTTGGTAAACAGGAAGTTATTGATGTGTAAATTGTATCTGGCACATGTATTGTGATACATGACCTCATGTTGTTTTGACTTGGTGCAATACAAAAGCAGTGAACTGAAATCTATTGAACATTAATAGTGGTTGTCAAAAAATGACACACTTCATGGTCTTGAAAATGTATTTCCACCTGTTAGTTTTCACATGATAGGCATGTAACAATACTTGATTCAAACAAGCAAGTAAATGAAAACAAGGACAGAACAATGAATGACGGTTCTTGTGATATATTCAAAATATACACAAGTTATGACATATGAACAGGACTGACTACCAAATAAAAAAATAACATTAGCCAAATAATATTAGCAGAGCAATCACAAGGCCAGTGGTATAAATTTAAAAGTTGTCTTTAAAGTTTTAAAACTTGTCTGAGTGTTAATGCTAAAGTTTAGACATGATACTCAAACATCACGTTTTCTTGAAGCACAATGATTCATTTATGAAACACTGTTTACGGACATTTAAGCAGTAAAACCAGATAAATAAACCGTCTTATTTCCTTATGACTGTATTTAACTGAAGTCCTTGCTGATGCAATACTTCAGTTAGGAAATCCGTTGATGATTTATTGGAACCATAAAGAGACCTGATGAATGTAAAAACAAAGAACTATTGTTTTACCTGATCTTGCTCTGTGAGGGCCTGATATACACATATGAGGACATTCGTTTCAAATTTTGATAGAACAGTGGCAGTATAATGTCCTTGTAAGTGGATATCAGGCCCTTGTAGAGCAAAATTTAGTAATGTGGTCTAGACAACCCAAAATGTGGTCTCCACATATGTGGACGCCAGGTCCTAGGAGGTTAAAGGACAATTTTTGGCAAGCTGATTTACACAAATTCAACTAGACAATAACATGAAAATATAATCTCATATTAACTGTTTAACTGTTAATATGAGATTAACAGTTAATATCATGTTAACTGTTCTGCTGGGATTTGGTTTCATTATTTGAAACCAAATCCCAGCAGAACAGGAATAGAAATCATTAAGAAACTCGAAGAATTCAGCTCCTTGACTGGCAACAAGCAAAATGGCAGCAGAAAAGTGGCTCAGAAAGTTAAAAGTAGCTACCAATTTGTAGTGATCTAGCCTAAATTAGTTAACATTTTTGACACTGTTGAGATAGTAAATATATAAAAACAGACACAGTCTCCACACTATAGGAACAGTTTACACTTGTGCTATATTTCAGGTAAATTTTTAAATCTGCACCACTAATTTAATGACAAATAAGTCATGAAATGACTCTGCCGTCTTCTTTCTGGTGCAGTAGCAAAAATTGTGCTTGAAGTAAACAAAACTGAACTGAGATGAACTGAACATTAATAGTGGTCGCCAGTTAATGACACCCTAAACCTTTTTGCAAACTTCATTGTCTCGAAAATGTATTTTTACTTATCAATTTACTCTCAGTAAGCATGATGACATTAATTAATGACATGAATCTCATATTCAACAAAAGTACCATTTAATGGAGTGTAAAGAGCAGACATTTGTAGATATTGTAGTAGAAAAGGCATCCAGAACGGTTGCTTCTACGTATTAAAACATAAAACTCTACACGAACCACTACTACATCTTAAATACTACAGCTGTTCTGTTACTCAACATAGTTACCAAGACAAACCACACCATTTCCTCATATTCTGACTTGGATATTATTCTTTCCTATCACTATTACAGTTAAAAAAGAAATACGTGTCCTTGAGGGCTAGCATTATTTGAGTATCGTAATTCCTGATGCTGCTCACCTCTGCAGTAAATCAGGAATTTAAACAGGGTGTTTGTGTATTAAAAGTAAAGTTTTAACTGTTAACAGCATGTACCAGAGATAGTGACATTAATAAAACATTCAATATTGCTTTCTGGATCTGATTTAGGGTTAATTTTAACTCAAACGGTTTGGAGTGTGTGTGGAAATGCAGTGCACCATACTGCCCTTTCTGACTAAAGAAAAGGAAGATCACAAGGTATGAAATGATCAGAGCAGAGTAAAAGGTCCAAATCAGAAACAAAAGCACAGACTGAGCATTTTTCTAAAGTCTAGACATGTTTAAATGAAAATCAATGTAATAAAGTGTCACAGAATTTGATTTTATTTAAGCAATTGGGAAAAGAAACGTCTTAACCCTTTCACGCATAATGGTCACTACAGTGGACGGCTACTCGAAGGCTGTTTGCTTGTATTTGTGTCAGTATTGATGGTATACTTAACATAAACCACTACATTGGACACTGATGTGTAACTCCATACCCGGTCGTTTAGTGTTACCACAGATGTATGACGTGTTTCATTGTAATTATTGTTACCCTGTCATGCATGAATTATGACAACCTCAATCAGGATAGAAGTATTTTTATTCATGTTTTCATGCCTAAAGATGAATAAAAATCCTGACTGAGGTTGTCATAATTCATGCATGAAAGGGTAAAAATGCTTCCAGATTGTAAAATTCAGAAAGCTATTTCATCATGTTAGCTCTGAGATATCTACCAGGTTGATATATTTTGAGCCTACATCACAGGAAGCTTTTAGATTATGTGTATTTTATTTATTAATCATTATTTGCATAGACTTCCAACACACCAAATACACAGACAGCAAAAGTAAACAAAATAAGTCCACCAATGTGCCTGAAACAAAGAGCAAAATACAAAAACAACTATGATGTATGAACTTCCACACTAATGAAGCTAAAAAAGGTCATTATCTCAGGCAAAAAAACAACAACAAAAAAACCACAGGGGCAGTAATAGTCAGGCAAAACATTTGCAGCTGGGTATAACTGCATACATATAAAAACTACCTGAAATCCTTTTAGTGAAAGCACTTCCTTTAGATTTAGTTCATTTTGCATCGGAACACCCTTGTTCCTAATTTAGTGTCAGCTTTCAGGACAAAAACAAGTCTTGGGGCAGAAAAGAATAACTTCCAGCACTGTTCTGATCAACGTGGGTCATTAAGCAAGATCGACACAAAGTCAGATTAGACTTAATATAAGTTCATATCAGTCTTACTAAACAATGACATTAAAGACACGTTCATGTTATTACAATATAGCACAGGACTTTTTCACACTAAGATCAGATAGATCTGTCAAAACAAAAACAAACAAACAGAGAACAACAATGAATTATGGTTCTTCAAAATATACACAAGCTATGACATATGAAGAGGACTAGTAACCAAATAACATTAGTGGAACAGTTGCAAAACCAGTTGTCTAAATCTGAAGCTAAACTTGGTCTTAGTGCTAACTCTAAACTTTAGACATGATACTCAAACATCAAATTTACTTGGAGCACAATGATCTGTTTATGAAAAACATAATCTGTTTCTGGGTTCATGGACATTTAAGCAGTAAAACCAGTCAAATAAACTGTGTGTTTTTTCCTTATGACTGGATTTCACAGAAGTCATTTTTTCTTGGCAGTGATGCAGTGTTTCAGTTAGGAAATCCATTGATGATTGACTGGAACTATAAAGACATTCTATCATAGAATGATTAACCATAACCAACGGCAAAGAATAACATCACCTGAAACAATAACTTTTATTACCAAAAGAACTGGTATTATGGGGAACAGTCAATACTGTACCGTCTAAACAAACCCCAAATCACATAGAATGTTTAAATAAACAAATTTAAGGAGTCAAAAAAGCCTCACAAATGCTGAGTAAACGTTCCCAGGACCAGGAAAGCACCACAGTGCATCCCAGAAGTCAAACACTCGAGATTTGTGTTGTAACAATCTGTTTCTAATGCGTCATGTTTTGGAATTCAGCAAGTTGGAAAACTCTGGTTTAGAGTGATCTCCATGAACCAGGAAAGGCTTTTTATTTGAAAGGATCATGGAGATTTACGTTATCTGGTTTTGTACACTTTTAGATTAATATTATTCATTAACTGTATTAAGATTATTTGCATCTACAGCTGTTTAAACCAGCTGTTCTGCTTGCTTATGCAGATGACTTAAATGTTTTTATTAGGAAGGATGCAGATATAAGGGCATTAGAGTCATGTCTTCGTAGGAGAAATGTTTAAGGGCCGAAAATGTCATGGTCTCCGTGTCTCTCCGGCTGGGTCACGTTGGGCTACAGTATTGTTTTTTGTTTTTTTCTGTCACTCCCTCTCTCCCTCACTGTCCTCTGTCTGCCTGGGCGGAGCTCATCTCCTGCTTTTGGGCCCGCCCACCTGTCCTGATGATCTGCACCTGCCACTGATTAGTTCCTGCTTCCTCCTGGCCGCTATTTAAGGTTGCGGCTCAGAACAGCTCATGACTGGAACGTTGAATGCCTTGAGTTCGTAAAGCCCCAGCTAAATCTAAAAGTGCTTTAGTGATTGTTTAGCATAATATTAATACTCGCGTCTGTGTGCAAATTCCCTGGATCTGTTTGAGCCCTCTGTTTGTTAATTCAGGGCAGTGATCTTAAACATCTGTTTGAGTCTCTGCATCAGAGAGTCCGAATAAGATATCCTGAACCAGAACTCAGAATCAGTAGAAGAACAATGGATAATAACATTAGATTAGCAAGGCTAGGCAGAGAGGTGTTTCCCTGTGTGCCTCTTACAGAGGAGGGAGCAGGTACCAGATGAGGTTGGACATGGACGGGGAGGATTTGCAGGGAGACAGCAAGACTGCCATGATAATCTTTGTTTTTGTCTCACTATATAAAGTTGTACAGCCCGTTTGAGGGTTATCCTTTTTGTGAACCAGATGCTTGATTTCACACAGAGGTCCACAGCGCTGTGTAAACTTGTAATTTCAACTACCAACACAAATTAAATCTTTTTAAATGACAACTTTCTCCTGAAATTCCTCCTAAAAAATTTGAACACAAGTGACAACAGACAAGGGACTGTATTATGTATACACACACGTGTTAATAGTGTAGTTTAACACAAACTAATAAGGCTAGAACCGAACAATGACAGAAGACAATAACAGTTGCACTAATCCCCCAAAACTGCTTTCATGCTATCTAATATCAGTATGAATGTACTGATTGGAGTCATGACACATTCTTAAAAACTGTGAAAAGCAGTACATACTGATGTCCCCTTATGTTTCATGGATTACAGGGATCATCTCTGAGGTTGTCGACTTTGTTCTGCCAGCAGTACGCCAATTTTGAGATGCCTTGCCCGTAGCTATTTATGTTTGATGCTTTCATATATATACAGTGGCTTGCAAAAGTATTTGGCCCCCTTGAACTTTCCCACATTTTGTCACATTACAGCCACAAACATGAATCTATCTAAGCTAATTATTGGAATTCCACGTGAAAGGCCAACACAAAGTGGTGCACACGTGAGAAGGGGAACGAAAATCATACATGATTCCAAACATTTTTTGTTTTTACAAATAAGTAACTCCAAAGTGGGGTGTGCGTAATTATTCAGCCCCCTGAGTCAATACTTTGTAGAACCACCTTTTGCTGCAATTACAGCTGCCAGTCTTTTAGGGTCTGTCTCTACCAGCTTTGCACATCTACAGACTACGAATACGAATACTTTTGCAAGCCACTGTATGAAAGCTGCAGGGACCAAGTCTCCAGGCAGACATGATATAGGAATTAAGTCAGGAAGAAAAAAAAAAGCAATGCTTTAAAATAGATTAAGGTTTAGTTTTGCAGGTAGTAATTCTAAATCTGTGCTGTTAGTCACTTGTCTCCCCAGAGAAGCTTTAAAAGTTAAAGTTTCACCATAACTTTAACTTTTAAAGCTTCTCTGGGGAGACAAGTGACTAACAGCACAGATTTAGAATTACTACCAGAAATCATACCGTGTGAATTCTTTCCTCTTCTCAGGCTGACCCCGTTTCTTTATTTACCATACTAAAAGAGTCTCCTTATGTATATCCTCTAACTACTAGCTATATCATGTGCATGCTGAAATGAGAGCTAAACCCAAAGCTGTAGCATGGTGATGTTTAACGAGTAACGACTAAAACAAAAAATGTTTGGTTGGGTGCTGTCACTGTGGAAAAAGAAGAAATGCTAAACCCAGACAGTGAAACTGGTAGCCGACAACGACGCCTTGAGAGGCCCTTGAATTTTTGACAAAGTGTAACAAATATGCAAAACATAACAAAATCAGAAAGGAGGAAAATTGTTTTACACAGCACTGTATATGCTTTTTTTATTTATTTATTTTACAAGTGTTAATAATAATAATGTATTCTGATATATCACCATCTGTTCTCAGGTGCAGTTCTGGACAAGCTACTTCAAACTGTGGACCAGTGCTCCCCAAATCCTTGCCAGAACCAGGCAATATGTTAAACCGCTGTGGGGCATTGAGTCATAGGCCTTCTTGTAATCAATCCAGGCAGTGCACAGGTTGGGCAGTCTTGTCTTGCAGTCTCGGCTGACTGTTCTGTCTACCAGTAGCTGGTGTTTTGCGCCTCTGGTATTCTTGCCAATTCCTTTCTGTGCCCCGCTCATGTATTGACCCATGTGCCTGTTCATCTTAGCCGATATGATGCCTGACAGGAGCTTCCATGTAGTACTGAGGCAGGTTATTGGTCGGTAGTTGGAGGGGACCGGTCCCTTCTGGGGGTCCTTGGGGATCAGGACCGTCCGACCTTCGGTTAGCCATTCCGGGTGTCTCTCGTTAACTAGCAGCTGGTTCATTTGTGCTGCCAGACGCTCGTGGAGTGCAGTCAGCTTCTGTAGCCAGTAGGCGTGAACCATGTCGGGCCCTGGTGCTGTTCATCTCTTCATACTGGAGCCCCTTCTTGGATATCTGCCACTGTGATGGTTACTGGACCCTGTTCAGGGAGGTCGCTGTGGTCTGCCCTCAGATCCACTAGCCACTGAGCATTGCCGTTATGGGTTGCGTCCTTCTCCCATATTCTCTTCCAGTATTGTTCCGTCTCCAGCCTTGGTGGTGCTGTTCTCTTATTGTTCCCCATATTGTTCCCTTGCCACTGAGAGTACACCTTGGCTGGTTCTGTGGAGAACAGCTGGTTTATTCTCCTGCCTTCTATCTCTCTGGTGTACCTCCTCAAGTGGCTGGCCAAGGCTGTGAGTCGTTGCTTGGCAGTTTCCAAGGCCTCAGGTATGGACAGCTTCCTGTACTTCTTAGGCACCTTCTTCATCGTGCCTTTCTGCAACTCCGATAGTTGGCTAACCTCCCTCCATGCTACCTTGATCTTAGCCTCTAGCCTCCTTCTCCATGGAGGGTACTGCCCCTTGTGGCTGTTCAACTTGTAGCCAAGCATCTCACTGATCACTGCTGCCGTATTGTAGATCAGCTTGTTAGTGTCGGTAATCGTGGTTGTAGGTATCGTCCGTAGTGCTGCATTAACATCATCTAGCAGACCTTCTGAGGGTACTTCACGTAATCTTGGTAACCAGCCACGGGGGGGGGGGGCCAGGTTTCAAGCTTGCTCAGCATGGATGAGGCCCCCACCTTTTCTGCTCTCAGTGTAATTATCTGTAAAATGTGACCTTATTATGGTAAAAATGTAACCTTTAACATCTACTGAAATCAGGTGACCAGAAACCCAGATACCTGGGCAACAGATAGCAGTTTTTATTTATAGTAGGACTACATAAAGCAACTGGCTACCAACTAGTAATCAGCAATGCTTTATTAAACCAAAGACTTATTCTGCTACACAATAGAGTAATATCCTCATGTTACAGTTTCCTAAATATGAAAAGCATTTCTTCTTGTTCTTCCTGCAAATCTAGCAAAAAGCAACAGATTAGATTTTAGACTACAGCTGCAGATGGATGGAGGTCCAGCAGTGTGAAGAAAGAGGCTTCACAGTTCTGCTCCTCTGTATCTGCAGCACTTTGTGCTCCCGCTGTAGCTGCTGCTCCAACTGGTCCATCAAACTCAGAGTTGACACTGAGCGCAGAAGTGTGAGCTTGATGGAGCAGACTGTCCTCATCTACAGATAAGGATGCAGTCATGACTGATGCGCTGAGCGTTGTACAAGCAGAGAGATCACGTGGCTGTAGCCATGTTTGGTGGGTGTTCGAGATCCTACCACCTACACCATAGCGCATTTCTGAGCATCCCAGCCGCAGCGCTCCACTCTGCATCACAGCATCTGCATCACAGCATGTATTTTTTATGAAAGCCACATGAAGCACAGAGTTGGTGAGGAGGGCAGGAAGTCGGCCACGTGCAGGCGACATGCAAATGCTCTGAAATGCTGCCAGTTTGATTTGTGGCTTTCAGCAGAAACTCTGATGAATGCCACTGTTAATCTGCACTCAGCATGCACAGCATGGATGATGCAACTGAAGCCTCCTCCTTTCTTGCTCTGAGTGCAGGTATCTGTAAAATGTGACTTTATATGGTAAAAATTATCTCCCACCCGAGACCGTAGACAGAAGCTTCCTGTTTTAGCTCAGGGTGGTCTTCTATTACTGCACACTGCTGTCTGCTCAGATTTATATCTTCAGAAACTGTTACCATAACACCTTCTGTCTCCAAACAAAGGCGAGCATGAATGATCCAATTGGAGTTAAATCGGTTATAGAAAACTACGACACTGCTGCAGCGGCTGCAAAGATAAAGAAAAAATATCTAAAAAAGACAAGAAATATTCCACTAAATATCGCCGTCACAGGAGAAAGCGGTGCTGGTAAATCCACCTTTGTAAATGCCTTCAGAGGTTTAACAGATGAAGATGATGAAGCTGCACCTGCATATGGAGACTCCACCTCAGAGGTTGCAGCCTACAAACATCCAGACTATCCCAATGTCACTTTATGGGATCTTCCTGGAATCGGAACGCCAATGTTTCCAGCTGAGAAGTACCTGAAGCGTGTTGAATTTAGGATGTTTTACTTCTTTATCATCGTCTCAAGGACTCGCATCACAGAAAATGATGTGAAACTCGCTCTGAAGATTCAGGAGATGGGGAAAAAGTTCTACTTTGTTCGTTCAAAGATTGACAAAGATTTAAGAGCCGAGAGAAGAAAGAGAAACTTCAGCAAAGAGAGGACTCTTACAAAGATCAGGGAAGACTGTGCTCAAGGTGAGTGTGTGATTATTTATACCAGAGAGGGAGAAATGTTCACTGCACTGTTTTCTCTTCTAGAGGTCTTTCAAAGTTTGCATTGGACATTGGCTGCTTTTTCACTCGTACTGATCGTCCTGTTCTTAATGACAGTCATGCACTTAGTGCAGAGGTCAGACCATTGTTGAGCTTTGTCCTGAAAAATGCCTGTTAGACTGGAAAATAATAAACAAATAAGGAGAGAAGGTGGCTGTGCCCCGTCAGTTTGATATCATACTTTAGGCTGATGTTTGCTTTATTCATTTGTTTGTCCAGTAAAAACCATTTTTGGTCTCCACCAACATAAAGGTGTTTCTTTTCCTCTGCTATGTTACAAGCTCATCTCTCTCTCTCACAAGAACATTTTCTTAAAATAAATTAATAAACTCCATCTTAATAATCTGTCACATGGATTCCTTCTGTATTACAGGTCTTCAGGCACATGGCATCAAGTGTTCAAAGGTGTTCCTGGTGTCCAGCTTTAAGCCTCGAAAGTACGATTTCTCTCTCCTACATGAGACCTTAGAGAGACAACTTCCTAAACTCAAGAGGAATGCTTTTGTGCTGGCCATGCCCAACATCAGCCTGGAGATCATCAAGAAGAAGAAACAAGCTATGGATCTACGATTACCTAATGTGGCCTGCTTTGGTAGACCAAATGTTTCTGTTCCTGGGCTAACTGTTTCTGTTAATCTACCTTGGCTGCACATTATTATTGTAATGGTGGTAGATGCGTTTGGTCTTGATATCCCATCTCTGTGGAAACTTGCTGCCAGCACAGGTCTGTCATACAGCGATTTGTGTGCCGTTATCAAGTCACCCCTGGCTGCAGCTGAAATAACTGAGAAGCTCCTGCTGAAGGTGTTGAACCAGGTTGGTGTAACATCTGAATTACGTTTTGAATTGAGCATGATAAACTTCCTTGAATCGGTTGTGGGCTCAATCCCAAGGGGAAGATGTTATCGGGTAATGGAGAAAGCTATGCCTATTATCCTCAGAGAACTTGCTGATGATGCTCAGAGGGTCTTTCAAAGAGTTCTGGCCTGAACATGTCGATTTTGTAAAGTAGTGACACTTTTGAAACTAGCATAGATCTACAAACAAGCTTTTAACTTTTTCTAATTAGACAGTGTTTGTTTCAAAATAATAAAATTCATAATCTCACTGCATCCTCACAGCTGATCAGTGTGTCCGAGGCCTCAGCAGGTCTCATCTCCTGTGATCAGAGCAGAAACAGCATTGTAACTTCTCCCAGCATCACACACTAATATGTAATCTTAAGGCAGCTATTAATAGCATTGTTATTAGCATCTGCAGTTATTATTATTGAACATATATTGTCTTTTCAGTGTTTTAATAAACTGATTACATTTGTCGTTTTGTTTTTATATTACATTTAAATGAGATTTCCGATAAATATACAAAACCTTTTAATGAATAAATATAAATTTGATTAAAAGAAATCATTGATATTATTGTTACGCAGAGTTATTATAATAGAGATTGAACATTTTATCTTTCAGCATAATAAATACTTTAACACGTTTTAAACCCTTGCTCTGTGGTGCTTGTGTGCTGTTGACTGTGATGAGTGTTCACTGCCCTCCAGTGGTCGCAATGAGGAACTACAACACAATACATACATGAACTGTAATATATTTTTTTTGTCTATGCATGCATTATATTATTGTTTTTCAGAATTCCAGTTATTGATAAAATATTACTGATGAAAAATGTTGGCATTGTTACTTATAACAATAAGATGATTTTCTGACCTAATGTTGGTAAAATGTAACAGAAGCCGTCACAACAATGTCTCCATTTGTTGGAAATATCCATGTGACATGTAAAATTCTATATCAGTCTAACATCTTTGGATTATTGTCCTCTGTGGGGAATCAAAAGCATCTGACAGAACTCGTGCAGGAGGTGAAGGTGTCCTCTTGTCTTTGAATGATGGAGCAGGATGCAGGTGTGGATAAGTCTGAAATGACAGCTCTGACTCTGAGCGCGCTCTTAATAGCCTGTCAATAAAACATCCAGCCTCAAAGTGAGCACGTAATGCAGGCTTGGCCCTAACCAATCTGGCGCCCTAGGCAAGATTTTAGGTGGCGCCCCCCTACATCGGCAGTGTAGTGTATGTACTCACAAGAAACCGAATAGCTTTGTCTTTGACCGGTTTTTTTTACTTAAAGAAAGCAAATTCACAATCAGAATAATTAACAAGATAAAAAAATATATGAATAAATAAATGAATACAAAAAATAAAAAATTAATATATGAAATACGTGATGGCAGCATACTATGTATATTTATACTGGCAGTATGGAAAATGATTATTTGGAAATGCTTAAAATGGAAATGATCATTTACTGTAAGGTGAGGTGTGGTTGGGGTGTGGACAGTGGTTGTGCTTTTGTAACGTTGAGGTATGGACAGCTACACACTGAGGCCTCAGTCCTGCCTGTTCACATTTTATTCTGTAAAAACTAAAAAAATTTTATGACCTTTTTAGTGGGGAGAACATAGCTAGGATTTAATGATTTAACAAATCTTTTACATCCTTTGTCCTCCACAATGCTAAATGGCTGGGAGTCCTCAATCACCATGCTAACCAGGTCTTCATCTATT